TGTCTGGCGAGCGCAGGAGCCCTATAGTGAAAAACCTCTCCAAAAATAAATAAATAAATAAATAAATAAATAAATAAATAAACAAATATCTGGCATTTTTCAAGTTCTTGGTTATATCATGTATATTTCCCATATTTTATTTATACATTTAACACTTATTTCTTCTCCCTCACCCCTATACAGACACATACACGTACATATGCAGAGCAAAAAAGCTATTATTAAATCAAGAGCTTATTTTGAAACTGCGTGACTACCCTTCTCTGTTTGCTCAGGAATGAGGAATTTCCTAGACACAGCACTTTAGTACAAAAATAGTGAAAATCCAGGCAAAATCAGATAAGGTAGGCCCCAATGTATGGCTGGGGTTGAAAAAATAAGGCAAGTATAACTGACTACATGTAAAACCATACGAACTGAAAAATACATCCCGCGTACCACGGCCAGCTGCTCAGCACCAGTCCCAAAGGACAGCACTGTTCATTGCTTTTCTTCCCTACTCTTCCCTCACCCTCAACTCATACAAGGCTTCTTTTCTCACCTATGTTTTATCACCCACAGCTCCTTAAGGAAACTTCTTCCTCCTCAGGTGGATGCCTTTGTCCTGGCACCATAAAGTATGTATTTTTCAATAAATATCACATGACGCCACACTAAAATAATGTAATTCTATGCATACAAAAAAAGCACAAGAAAGTGGCAAGACATACCATGCCACAATAATAGAAATCTGGCAAAATTATTCTTATTTATTCTGAATACTTCTATGGGTGAACAATAAAATGCAAATTTATAAAAAAGAAATAAGTAGTCTTATGTGACTGCCAACACTTTGTGTAGTAAAAACTGACTGCAGGAATGAGACAAAGACTGAGAAAGGTAATTCCTGAGAGTCATGCAGACTGAGAAGGGTTTTTTTTTTTTTTTCCTGTGCTGGAGAACTAATTGCTAATCCCAAAATATATGAAGCAAAAACTGACAATTAACAAAACAGGAAATTCACTCATGAGTGGTTCTTAAAATGAGACAAATTTATCTAATTCTATTAGCAAAGTAATTTCCTATAACTCTAATTTCTAGAGAAAAGATCTTTTAGTAGGTAAAAATTGAAGCTATATTGTTTCAAGGTAATGTTCTAATGACTACTCACAAAGAGTAACATAGCCATGTTAATGACCATAATAAAAAATGGTTAACTTCAAACTTCAATTAAGTATACAACATTGTACAACAATCCTAAAATTAGTAACTAATAGTCAGCTTTTTCTTCCATTCCCTGTGATGGCTCTTCAAACAACAGAAAATATTATTCAGATATCTTACCCTTCTACCCTGCCTTCAGAGTCTACTGTCTTAACCAATGGGTCAAGCTACAAGTTAACATTCCTCCCACAATACAAGCAAATTACAGCAAAGAAGTTAAATATAAAAATTTGAGTAGCTTTTAGAGCTAAAGTGGCCATGTGATAGTAAAAAATATGCCTGCATAATTTACTGTACATGAGCCTTTAATAAAACTGAGATTATCCTAAAAAAAAATTGGTAGCTTCTATGAAAATTTAAGTAGAAAACCCAGTATCAGCTAAGTTCAAGTATATATACCCTATATATATCATATGTATGTGTGTGCGTGTGTGTGTGTGTGTATATATGGTAATAATCTCTGTTATTTCTGGGTGATAGTGTAAGGTGAATGATTTTTTATTTTTTTCCCTTTTATTGTCTATTCTTTTATTTTTCTCTTAAGACAGGGTCTTGAGGGACCAGCAGTTAGTGTAATGGCTATGTTGCTGGACTCCTATGTAGTCAATCGCGGTTCGCGTTCCAGAGCCAGTGGCTTGAAACTAATGCCGGGCACGTGTGCGTGTGCATGCGTGCCCAAGATCTTGAGAGGAGAATGGAGGAGAAGGGACTGCAGTGTGGTCATCCCCCCTGGGAGGTGATTTCTCTCTTTCTGTCTCTCTCTGTTTTTCTGGTGAGCACACGCGCCCTATAGCAAAAACCTCTCAACCCTAAAGAAAAAACCCTTCAAAAAAAAAAAAAAAAAAAAAAAAAAAAGACAGGGTCTTGAGACTCTTCTGCTTCAACCTCTCAAATTGCTGGGACTAAAAACACATACCACTGTGGCCTTTGTGCTGGACTGGGAATCAAACCTGGACCTCTCGTATTGTATCAACCTGCAGAGCACAGCACCTTAAGTAGCATGCACCACCGCCATTGAGTCATATTTGTACTTTCATTTTTAATCACTGTATACGTGACAGTGTTCAGGACTAACAGCATAGCAACTTGAACATTTAATGAATCATAAAACAAATACCTTTTCAAACCCTTAATTTTAATTTTTTAATTTGCTAGGGCACGTGCATTCACCAGAGATAAAGAGACAAGAGAAAGTAAGAAGGTAAGGCACTAGGTCAAGAATTCAAACTGCGGTCGACCATGTGGGAGTCTAGTGCGCCCTAACCACTACACCACCTACTGGCCCCTTAGACCCTTAATTTTTAAAGAAAATGACAAGGCAGGGGCCAGCAGGCAGTATGGTGGTTAGGATGCTAGGTTCCCACATGGCTGATCGTGGTTTGAGTCCCAGACCTGCTGGTTTGAAAATCACAACAAATAAACAGATAGATAGACAGACAGACAGATAGATAGATAGATAAATGTTTAAAAATAACAATTATTAAAAAGAAAATGATAAGATATACTGAAAAAGTTCCATATGCTAGACCTCAAGCTCAGTGCTGGGGACACAGGTTTAATTAAAACCTGGGCACAAAGAAAGGCAGATCTATAATGATCATATAAATGACTTCAACAAGTTAATGGAAAAATGAAATTAAAGTATGAGTTTATTTTGCTGCAAAAAAAACCCCAAGTATAGTTTTTTCTTTTTTTTTTTTTTAAGATTTTATTTAACTTTATTTATTTATTTATTTAAATTTGACCAGAGAGAGACAGAGTGAGAGAGAGAGGGAAAGCGAGAAAGCAAGCCTCCAGGTCTGGGACTTGAACTGTGGTTGGCCATGTGGGATTCCAGCACCTGTAACTACTATGCCACCCGCTGGCCCCATAGTTTTTTTCTTAATATGCATTTTCCATGAGTATTTTAAAGATCCTTCCTATAGGTAAGGTAAGTGCTATAATAAAGTTACTTCTTCAGCACAGTCATTTCAATCAGATGAGGGAATAGAAAAAGCATTCTGAAAGAGAGGGTACTTAGCTGATTCAAGAGAATGATGTATGCACAAACTACTTCTGATTGGAGCCATTTCATTGATTAGACCCATTTCATTAAGTAGCACAGTCACTTATTAATGATTAAAAATGAAGGCTCTGCTTTAAATGCCAAATCATTTCTTTTTATACCTCAGATTTCATTAATTTCAAACATCTTTCTTAAATATCTTACAAACTGAAGAGTAAGGTGCTTGCTTTGGCAGAACATCTACTGAAACTGGAACGACAGAGATTAGCATGGCCCTTGTGCAAGGATGACATGCAAATTCGTAAAGTGTATAACTGAAAAGGTATTGTTGATTCATTATATTTCAAGGTGGTTCGATCACAGCCAATCAACACGACTTTTAATCTGCTTCTGTGGCTGTGTTTGAAAAAATAAAGTTCTATTTGAATAATCTATTTTCCCAAGAAAAATAAATAAAATAAATTGAAATCAGGAGACTCAGAGAAAAGGAAAATCTTGTCTTGTTAGAATGTGTTAGGCTATACAAAATCTGTAAATATGTATAACTGAAAAGGTATTGTTGATTCATTATATTTCAAGGTGGTTCGATCACAGCCAATCAACACGACTTTTAAACTTTCATCTAAATGGCATTTCTAAAGTGTCTGCTGATGACTTAAATCGGGATAGGCAAACTATAACAGTAAGTAGCTTTATTATTTTTCTTTCTTTCTTTGTTTAAAAGGAAAGGTATTTATTGAATAAAAGTGAAAGTCCACTCCTGAGAGAGAGAAGCAGGTCTGAGTGGACAGAGAAAGAGTGGCTCGAAGGGCCCTGGCAGTTATATTCTCTGAGGTTTATAATTTTTAAATCTAGGTCATGTAGGTTGATCACTGGCTGGGGCCATGGACTGTTCTCATCTCACTGGCTCTATTAAATGCCAGCAGCCTGGTTTTCTAATATTAATTTTTTTCCAGCTAGAAATGTATTTTATATTTTGGGAGGGAAGGATGAAGGGAAAGAGAGAGAACTGTATACAGACATCGTACATGGCCCACAAAGTCTAAAATATTTACTATCTAGTACTTTACAGAAAAAGTCTACCCACTATTGAAAAATCTCTGAATGAATTTCTGTTCATTCTGAAGTTACGACCTATCTTACCAATTCATATTATCTGTTCAGCAAGAAGTCATAAGGAAGGCATCATAATTGCCGTGGAGCCTAAACACATGTACAATCACAGTCATGTGTCACAGGGGGATATATTCTGATAAATACATTAATATGTAGATATGTGATTGTGCAAACATTACAGTGTATTTGCACAAACCGAGATCATACAGCTTACTACACACCTGGGCTACATGGTATAATCTTATGGGAACACCATCGTATATGCAGTCTGCAATGTCCTTAGATTGTGCATGACTGTACTTGCTCACAGTGGGAGAAAGACAGAGGGTGAAGGGGTTTCTAAGGATAAGCAAGAGTGGGTAGTTAGCTCAGAAAGATGTGGGTTTTGAGGATACTGGGAGGAATCCAAGGACATACAGTTAAAGCAGACAAAAAGTGCAGAGTGATCCTAAGGAGCTCTGCAGTGAGTTGATCAGGTTGAGGGTAACTACTAAGATATTAATGGCATACAGCATATGAAATCTAGGTCTACCAAGAAAAAGGTGACATAGAGACATGAAGCTACCTGCCCAGATTCACAGAACAAGAGTGGGAGACAAAGAACTGGATTACAACCTCCCAAATCTCTATCTAGCTCTTCCCACTGTATCTCACTACCCTCTCACCACAGGGCTACATGAACTTCGAAATATACCACTATCGACTCGTCATAAGTTAGCCCAAAGACCTTAGCAGGACCTGTCTCTTCGGAGTTTCCCTCCCTCTCCAAATTATCAGTTATTTCTCGGGGAATAACTGAGCAAGGTGAATGCAAGTCTCAAAGAGGTGGAGGAAAAAGCAACCAGCTCTATTTCCCAGAAGACATTAGGAAAAACAAGAAAATGTTGACACATTTTACATTTGGACAGAAAAATATCATTAAAATAAGCCTTAACAAATCCAATGCCTAGAAAGCAATAAGAAACAATGACTTTTAAATAATTTACCTGGTTCCAATTTTATTACTTTAATTGCGGCTAATTCACCAGTGTTAACATTCCGTGCCTAAAAAAGAAAAAAAAAAAAAGATTATGAAAAAGTTTTTACAAAAAATTTTTACAAAATGGCATTTTACTTTATTCTTATGTTTTCAATTGTATCTTTTAAAACAAGAAATACAAAATTGATTCATATTTACGAAGCACAGTGTTTTCTTTTTTCTTTTTTTTTTTAAACCATTACAGGGTGTGTATACTCGCACAAGAAAGAAAGCATCCCCAGTGAGGTGTGATCATGCCACAATCCTTTTCCCTCCATTTTCCCATCCCGACAGGACATTGGGCATGCACATACACAGGCTTGGCGTGTTTTTGCAAGTTGCCATGGCTGGGATCCAAACCACAGTTGGCCATGTGGGATCCAGGTCCATACGTACAGCACTTAATCACTGTGCTGCTGAGCTGCCCCCAAACATAATATATTCTTCACCATGAATTTCAACATAAATACATGTGCACATTTAGTATCAGCAATAATAACAAAAGCTAATACAGAGACATTAGTGTGCATGTGCCAGGCATTAAGTGTTCTTATATTAATTCATTTAATCCTCATAACAGTCTTAAGAGGTAGGAGTTAATATTATCCCCATATTGTGAAGAGGAGACTGAAGCACAGAAAAGTTAAAGAACTTGTCCTGGTCACACAGTTCGGTCACACAGCTTATAAGTGACAATGGATTCAAATGCAGGCAGCCTGACTCCAGAATGTAACCCCTTAAGCATCACACTATATATTATCATTCATTGAAAGACTGAAAAAATTTTTTAAATTTTAAATTAATTAGCCTTAACTTTTTCATTTAAAAACTCTAGAACATGAAAGGCTAGCACTATTAAATAATTATGAAAACAGCACTCTTGCCTTCTTTTAAACACAACTTATAGCAGTCAAATTTTGTTCAAACTAATTTATATGAAATGAGATAGATTTTCAAATGGATAGTGCTAGATAAATATTTGTTCCTTCCTCAAGGATAAACAGATAAAGAAATGGTGAACCAGAGTATCATTCTGGGGGCATTCTGTAAAAGGGAGTCAGGGTGCACCTGAAAAATATTCAGGTATATTATTACATCAACTTTAGCCATAATTTCTCAAACACTATCACAACTACTCGCCTCTCTTTACACTTTGGTTTTTTTTTTCCTCTGTTAGGTTCCTACTTTACATCCTGTCCTTCAAGCCACATCTTTTTTGGCATCGCCTACAAGTAAGAAAATATGCTATTCTGTCCCGTTCTCAACATTTTAAAATCATGCCTTTTTTTGGGGGGTGGGAGGTTACTGAGAAGACACTTAAGAGAATGGGTGATTATATTATGGGACAGCAAATAAATATGAAGTCATACAGGGCACTAGCATGATTATTTATATAATAGTTGAAATGCTGTTCTCAATGACCACACGAGGGCACACTCTGTATTGACAATACAAGTTACTCTAAAGTGTTTGACCAAAATGATGGCTATACACAATGTACTCATATAAAATAGATTTACTAATAGTTAACACTAGCATATATTTAACAGAAAAGCTATGACAGTAATCTACTGGTGAATAATTTACTGAAGTCAATATTTCTACAGATTTAACTTATGAATACAATATTTCAAACGGTGTTATCAGTCTATAACAGAATACTCTAAAGCAGTCTTAAAATTATGGGTTTTTCTTAGAGTCAATTAAAAAAAGACAATTAAAATGATGACTGCTTTTTTGCTTTCTATGCTCTGAAATATTTTCTGGCAGATACTTATTTGGCAAATATTAAGATATTTCACAAAAAGAAGGGGAGAAAGAGTTAAAGAAATAAAACCCCCGGGAAACTTCCATTTCTGAGTCTTAATTCATCAAAATCCATGTTTATTATTGACAGTTCTTTAAGGCATTTTAATTAACTAAGAATCTTGGCTTTCTGAATAAAATACATAACATTTTGCTGTCTCTAAACTGACAATGGTCAAGGTTATATGTTGAGGTAGTATAAAAATCAGTATTATCTCTAATATTCTGTCCCAACCAACACACACAATCCCACAGATCCTGGGTAACCTCAAACCTCAAATACAAGTGAGCTTGGTAAGGAAAATCCTGCAAATCTGAAAGGAACTCCATGAAACTACTAAGTTCCCAAGTTGTTCCAGGATTCAGTTTGGTTTCATGAGCCTTTTAGACACTATTCAGATTAGAACTAGTTGAGGAAAGAATTTTTCTGAGACGATTTCATCCTGGTTGCTCAGTTATCTTCAACTCAGAAAACTAAACAACACAATCCAGAAGCACTCACTAAGAGCTCAAAAATAGTGTTAGGTCCTATATAAAGTTAGACTCTGTCAGGATCAGTAAAACAGCACCTTCTACTCTGTACTGATCACCCCAGAGCACTCACAGCTTACTATTCATATTCATTCCAATGTGACTATGAAGAAAGAGTCTGAAGTGAGAGTTAAGAAGTGCAAAAGTTGAGACCTGGCTCTGTTAGTAGGAGGTAATGTGATCTGAGGAAATCTTTTCCCCCGTTTCCTTTTCTCATCTTCTCTACCTATAATTTAAAAACAAGCAAGTGAAATCAGGCTATTTCTAAAGTTCTATTTCTAAAAGTCAAGGTTTACATCAAGTTATCTGTCTAATGAATTCTAAATACTGAACCAGCTGTCTAGTTATATTTACACAACTATATATATATATATATATGAATATATGAAGTTGAACTACAAAATGAAACAACAAAACAATGGCACTAATTTTGAACCAACATACTTAAAATGAGATCTAGCAATCTGTACTTAAAGCTACTGAGATACTTCTGATACACAGCTTTGGGGATCCAGTCTAAAGCACCGTGCCATTCAAACTGTACAAAGTAACTACCAACTCCTATCTGCAAAGGGTGTTAGATGTTACAGATGGCTTCATAAAAGTGATACCACTTATGAGACATTTGAAAGATGGACTAGAACAGGATCAACCTACAAAAGGGATGAAGAGAAAGCATACAAAGAATAACAAGAGCAAAGACTTAGGGACAGGAAAAACAGACTATTTTGAGTTTCCAGGCAGGCCAAATTTCAGGGTGCCTCCCATACAAATACACCCTTTCAGAGGGAAATGGATAACCCACACTCACTGGGGAAGGAACAGCTTCACATTTGCTTTAGCACAGTTA